ATCAAATTAATCCATTGCAGTCGTGCCGTAATAGCTCCAGGCTGCGCTCTCCATGAAAGGCGAGAAACAATTCTAGTTTTAGATTGTATTTTGTTTACCGTGTGATCGTATTAAGGTTACGCCGCTTGATACTGTTTCAGAACGATATTGCAGCTAATGGTATATTTTACATGCATAAGTTTTACATTTGCTTGTACAAAAAGGAACCTCGATTAGCGTGGTTCAAATAAGCTGTGTATTTATATAAGCACTCCTATGCCTTCTCGACCTGACTAAGATTATACAGTGCTATTTGTCGCTCAATAATACTTCGGTTATCTTGGTTCTTGCCGATCCTTACACAGATCAAGGTTTGAATTAGTTTGACCCAGATCAGCTAAGTTGTGAAGGCGTGATGGCTTCATTAGGGATCTAAATTCTTCGAAGGACAAAGCTTACTTATACGGTGGTAAGGGCAGCTGTAAGGTTGTTGAAGGAATATCATGAGGTTTTGACGCGAGATCCCTACTCGTGTTACCAAGTGCGTCATGAAATTGCCTTTGCTGCGGAATCAAATATTGCGTCCCACGGCAATGATTTTGATCAAGGAGTTAGTGACGCCATTGAAGCTTCCTTTAATGTAAAGTACGAAGCGGTTTAGGCGAGCAAAAGTCAATCACCGCAGTTAGCGCCAATGTTCTGTGATAAAAGGTGCACGGCAACCGGCAAATTGTACATACTTCCAACAAGCTAAATGCGGCTCCGATCCCGGTGCCAGCGCCGCTTTCAATGATGAATGTGCTGCAGAAAGCATGGTCGGCTGAACTTCGTTCAATGCACTTGTCTCACTTAGAATTATCATCGGCTGCTGATGGGATCCAGTGACACTCTTCATCACTGTGGTGAGTATTCTGCATGCGATGCTCTGGGAAGTCTGGCTATACCACAGAGACTTGATAAGCCAGCACTGTTCAAATGTCTGGTGACATATCTGTTCAGGCCACATCATGCCTATGCACAAATTATTTTGACGAAAACTTCGTTCATAGTAGTGCAGTGCAAGGGGGTCGAACCAACTGTTAAGTATGCTGCTGTAGCCAATGCTTGCACTAACTTATGAGTTATGGTAACTG